TTTGTCTTCCTATGATTTCATTTTATCTATCTTTCTCTAATGAATAAAACTCGATTGCAATCTATGTTTTTTTCACGAGCATCATGAACTATTCAGAATATTTAACTTTCATTAAATGACATAGCTAAAAGATGAAGAATATGGTAGGTAAACGTGATTACTTAAGACTATATTCTCAAACAAAATATAAGGTCTCATTAGTTATATAGAACATATCAATGATTGTGCATTTTTTTCCATTCATTATATCAAGTTGAACGAGTAGCCATATTTATATATTTGTGAGATGCCATTTCTTGTATTCGAATATAGTGTTTATAATAGAAATGTAAAACCACGTGTTTTCGTACATCCTATTCTATACTATCAAAATGTATCTAAATGTTATAACGACAAAATTCTTTCGAATGATATTGATTATGATTGATAATAAAGTCCATATTTTTGGTTGAGTAAAGAAAGTTTTAGTTTCTTGTAATGTATTGACATCAAAGATATTATTCTTCAGTATCACGGTCTTTCATTGTCACTATCAAAGAACAGACAAAGTAAAACAAACAATAAGTATTTAAAAGAATATCTGTACATACATTGCTTCATCATATTATTGTTAATCGTTGTATCATCGCGAGGATTCCGATTCCTCGATATCAATACGTTAGAAATGAATAATAAAAGAGTATCAAGAAAGAGAAACTACCTTTTCGCTAACTTTTAAATGGTGTATTTTAAAAAATCATAATAAAATTTTCTTTTTTCTTATTCAACAAACAATACCTATCAATAATAAAGAAAAATAAGAAGCAACAAGTCCCAGGAGAAAAAGTAAAAATTCTGTATTTCAAGGATATAACAAATCTATCCTCGTATTCGTCAACTACTTGTGTGAAAGCGAAATTTTTATTTTATTTTGCAAAGTATGAAACAATTTATTTGTTGAAAATAGGAGATATTCTATAAATTTTGCTTTTAATTCATACACCTGTCTCTTATTGTAAACACGTACAGTTCTCAAGAAAACATATAATGATAAATTACTAGTGACATCTAAAATAAATCAAAATCTATTGGAGCATGTTTTTATTAACTGTTTATCAAGTAAATCATGAAATAAACAAAAAAAGAAGCAATAGTAAATAATAAAATCAAGCATTGTCGAGAAGAACAAAAAAAAGGAACAATCGATTAATCCCAACTATTGTCTTATTATTTAAATTCAAACCCAATTATTTTTTTTTTTGATCTGATTCATTTATAAAAAGACAAAACTCATGTCGTTCGACGATCCATTCAATACTAATAATGTACCTATTGATAATAATGAATCAAATAATTTTTATAATTTCAATGAAGAAGAAGATCCAGCTGCTGAATTTCTTCAACGAGAAAAACAAGAATTAGGTGATATAACAGGTAATGATGATATGAATTCATTTGATGATCCATTTAATACAAATGCTAATCATTTAACAAACGGTATATATCAAAAATGTATTCTTTTTTGTGCTATGATCGTGTATTCGATAAATTTTATTTTGTCTAGGTACATATTCACCAAGTTTTGGTAGTGATAATTTACAAATGGTATCAAATACGGATGCAACTCAATATGAAGCATTATCACAATTAAATGAACCGGAAAAAATTCAAAAATGGAAAGAAGAATTTTCAGCACGTATTAATAAAAAAGATGTTGAAGAAGAAATAAAATGTAAAGATATGCGTGAACAAGCAAAAAAAGAATTAGATGATTTTTATAAACAACGTCTTGAACAAATGGAACGTATTAAAGAACAAAATCGTTTAAATAATCGTACATTAGAAGATGATTTATTTAATAATGATAATAATTCATTAACAACATCAAATGGTAAATTTAATGATTGGGATAAAATAACAAGTTTATGTGAATTTAATCCGAAAAATAATCGTTCACAAAAAGATTTAACACGTTATAGAAGTATTCTACTTCAATTAAAACAACAACAACAGCAAACAAGTGGAAAATAAATTTTCATATGAAATTATTTCAATTCAAAACAAAAAAAAAACAAAAAATTACAAATGATATGAACTTTTTCTTTATTTATCTATATCTATATATGCATATAATTGTGGCTTGATCATATGTCATCGTCGTTGTCTGTGTTTGATAGTACTTTTTTTCA